TAATGTTGGGATAAGATCTTTATCGTTTTGGAAGCCATTAAGAAAAAAATGCTCTTCTTGTTTTATCCTGTTCATTTTGCGTTTAAATGCTAGAAAAAAAAAATAATAATTAGATGTAATTTTGAGGGGCCGGGAACCAATTAATTGGTTTTCCATTATTTCTTATGGTCGATCAGAACTCCAACTTTTTAGGATTCGATCCGGAGTCCGGAACGGATTAAGTTCGAGAACCGAGGTACCACTGTGTATGAGCACTAGTTGCACTGTGTAGTCTTTAGCAAATTAAATGCGCTGCAGCATGATCTGAGCCCACCATGCCTTTTCTACTGAATCTTTGCGGGCAGGAGCGGTTGGACATCCTACCCGGCCTACCGTACGTTACCTCACGAGTCAGTCAATCATGCCGTTCATTCAAAAAGAAACTTGTGGTGCTTCATTTACGCCAATATATCAGCAGTTCCACAGTGGCTTTACTAGTTAGCTATTAACTTGCTTCTACTTGGAAACTCATATGAAGGATGCTGAACAGTCATTTCAGCATGCACAATATTTGATGACACATAAAGTTATCAAGTTTTAAGTCTTGTTAACTTCATGGAGACTACATTATCAGCAAGAGGTTTTTTACCTAGTTATAGATTGGTAGTTAGCTGGATAGACAGGGAGAACTGATGTAAATGTATGACCTGCAACAAAAACAGCCACATACAAGCAGACGTGTCCCACAGTAGGATCTTTGTGCATTTATTGAGGGGCATTAGTCTATTTAACAGAAACACTGACAACAAAATAAGAAATAGCTCTGGAATTATGCTGGGATACAAACTAAAAAATTTTTACTTGCTGACATAAGTGTGCTAGATTGGATGTGGGCCATGTTGGATGTCCAACCCCATCTTCTGGTAGGTCACAGCAAGAGGCTTCTCAATGGAGTTTCAGACTTCAAAATCCCTAAAAACTAATAAACACTGAAAAGCTCCTCTCTGTCAAAATTTCTGTTGGCAATTAAGCTTTGAAGCTGTAGGTCACCTACAATCCTGTGGAAAAAATAGGCACACCGCTTGAAAAAGTTTATTTTTTGACATACACTGGATAGCCATAGCATTAAAACCACCTACCTAATATTGTGTAGGTCCCCCTCATGCCAACAAAAACAGCTCTGACCTGTTGAGGCATGGACTCTGCAAGACCTCTGAAGGAGGCCTGTG